CAAGTCACTATATCTTTTGATAGATGGGCACCATCAGGTTTCTTCACTACATTTGTTTATGCACCTATTTTGTCTTCAGTGATCATGCTGGGAGGGTGAGCATCGTAGAAAGCCAGGTTGTTAGAACAAAAGTGTTCTTGCATTGAGGCAGGGCTTGAGCAGATGCCCCAAACCCATCTGTAGACAATAGGACATCCCCTCACTGAACTGGGTCACAAGCAAGGGATGAGTCAACCAGGGTGCAGTGTAGTACCAATGAATCACACACTATTCCTCTGGTTCCTTGAGGCTTCGTCACTCCCCACTATCATGACCCCAGTCCTGCCTTTCATTATGGGTTAGACTGGAGAATGTAACAGATGCAGATAAGAGATATGAGCTTATGACACACAGACTCTAGGAACAAGAATAGGAGGAGCGATATCAGGAGGATAGAGGTAAAGTAGGGAGAGGAGGGGAGGAAGGGGGAACCAATCACAATGATTGACACATAACCACCCCACCGCCCCCCAGGGGGATCAACAACAGAAACTGTGGGGGAAGGGAGACAGTGGTCGGTATAAGATATGGAAACAATGATAATTTATAATTTGTCAAGGTTTCACAAGGGTAGGAGGGGGGAGGGAGGGAAAAAAGAGGAGCTGATACCAAGGACTCAAATAGAAAGTAAATGTTTAGAAAAATAATGATGGCAACATATGTACAAAACCTGGAAAATTATGTAAGCTAGAATTTCTAATCATAGAGAATTTGAATAGATGAATAGATTTGACATGTTGAACATGAAAAGGGTAGCACACTCCTGAGGGTTCAATTTCTCTTCAAAGAAAGTGTGTCCCTGATAAAATAAAATAGGAACAGCTGGCAACTCGCCTTCAATTGGAGTTTACTATTTTGGTGGGAGGTGTCTTGGAGACTGAATTTGGGGTCAGAGGAATCAGTACTGGCAAAATTTAATAAAAACTCAAGTTAGAATAGACAAGCCATGTCTCAAAAGGCAGCTGGTAATTTCTTTGACATAAGTTATCTTAGTACCTTCTATGTTCGGTATTAAAGAATGAAAGATAAATAAGACACAGACACTACCCTCAAGTTGTTTACACTATTACAGTGTATTAGGAGAGATAAAAATAAATAAATCTAGAGTTCAGAACATTTCTCAAATACCCTAGAACAAGTGGAAAGCAAAGGAAGGAGATTATGCACTACATTAAATAGATGCAGAATAATAATGTGCGGTCCTTTAAAAAGAGGATGAGTTTAATGATCCATATGACAGGACAAACATTTTCAGATCATATGAGAGTTCTTAGAGATCATATGACTTTTGTGGAACAAAAATTTGAATCAGTCAAATGCTGTATTGGATTTAATAACATCATTAAGCTATCAAATCTCAAACTCATACTTCATCAGTGCTTTGAACAATTAACTGAACAAAGTCCGTAATGTACATACACAATTACAGCGAGCAAGTTTTAAAATTCACTGAGGAAAAAAATACATATAAATTCTATAAGTTCTTGGCTATCAAAAGATACAGCATCTGGAGTATTAAGCTTTGAACTTAAACATGCGGCCATCTAGCTGAGATAAAACAGGCCATATGGAAGAAGCACACAGCCTGTGTGATCACGAGGTGTCCACGAAATCAGGAAACAGGCACCAGAAGACCCACAAAAACCCACAAAAACCATATTGTTGAGAACGAGGGGGTCGGAGCAGAGACCCAAAACCAATCTATAGACAATAGGACATCCCCTTACAGAAGGGTCACAAGGAAGGGATGCAATCACCAGGGTGCAGTATAGCACTGATGAAACACACAAAATTCCTCTAGTTCTTTGAGGCTTCCTCATCCTCCACTATCATGACCCCAGTCCTGCCTTTCAGTTCTAGCTGGACTGGAGAATGTACAGTGGTACAGATAAGAGCTCATGACACAAGGAATCCAGGTCAGATAAATCCCTCAGGAACAGAAATGGGAGTAGTGATACCAGGAGACTCGTGGAAAAGTGGGGGAAAGAAGGGGAGAAGGGGAAACCGATTGTAATGATCGATGGTTGATTGATCCCCACCCCACCAAGGGGGAATAACAGAAATGTGGGTGAAGGGAGACAGTGGTTGGTGTAAGATATAAAACCAATAATAATTTATAATTCATCACGAGGTTGGGAAGGGGGTGAAGGGAGGGAAACAAGAGGAGCTGACATCATGGGGTCAAATAGAAAGTAAATGTTTAGAAAATGATTATGGCGTACAAATAATCTTGATGTAATTGACATGTGGAATGTTATAAGCACTGTAAGAGCCCCAATAAAATGATTTTAAAATAATAAAAACAAAATTAGTTGAATATTTAAGAAATTATGAGTTAACAGCATATCAAATATAATGGTACTTACTTTGTCTCTAATTTACTGTAGATCTAAAATAGACTAATAATATCTCTTAAAAATGGAAAAGGAGTGGAGAGAGTTGAATGGATGATAACAAGTAATGAAATGGCATTAAATATTAATAATCTGTGGCTACATTAGCAATGAGTTGGGATTTACTCTTAGTTAATCCAAAATAAGGGTGAATTTGCTAGTTAATAGAAATGATGATATATTCTGTCACTTTTATCTCTAAAAAGAAATCTACTCTTTTGCTTTTATTATTTCAGCTGTTTACTTATGCCCATTGGAAATAGGTAATAAATATTCCTATAAAGAATAATGAAATTTGGCTAAACGAATGGACATAATTGTCTAGATGATGACTATAATAATAGTATGGTATTATAAAGTATGACAAATAGCTATCCAACACCAATTCAGGATAACACTCTCAGGAAATTAAGAGCCTCTGTTATCTGGAACTTAATGTTGACTTCACATATATAAAACCTACAGCTAATATCAACTCAATAGTGAAATACAGAATGCTTTCCCCTTAAGGCAGAAACAAGGTAAGGCTAGCCACTCTCAAAACTCCTATTCAGCATAGTACTGTGAGTCCCAGCTAGCACATGAAAAATAAATACAAAGCTATAGATTGGGAAATGAGAAATAAATGCTATGATTGGGTACTTAAAATGCTATTGGGTACTTACAGATGCTATGATTGGGTACTTAAAAAAAAACACCCAAATAGTCTACAAAAAACATTATAGATTCAATAAATGAGGTTAGCCAAGAATCAGGGTCAAAGATCAATACACTGAAATCAATTGAATTTCTATATATTAACAACAAACATGTGGGAACTAAAGTAATAAACTCAGTAGCTTTTACAATCACTACAAAGAAAATGTTCAGATGCAAACTTACTAAAATACGCACAGATTTCTGTGATGAACACAAGTGGCAGGTGGAAGTGACGGCTGGCATGGTTGGGAACTGGTTATACAGCAAATACACAAATATACTGGGAATAATGGGAGCTAAGTTTCTCACTGTCAGAGAAGATAATTATAAACATAGAAAGGAGTAGAATGAAACTTGCAGTGTTTTCTTAGATGTAAAAAGTGTCAGCATAAAGTCACAGGTTTATAACATGTATAAAAATACACAGATGTAGACATAGTTTTATATGGGTTACTGGACGTAAACCTGGGGGAACTGAATTGAGAAGAGAGTGTATGTGGACAAATTCTCTTAGCTTACATTTAAGGGATCTGGGAAGCAGACTGGTGGAGAAAGGTGTTCACTGTTCATGAGTTGGAGATAAATCCCAGTCACATACTCCTAACTAAAGCTATTCCCCACAATGTCCCCATAATAATGTTAATTTTAAGATGCTGCTTGCAAGCCCATGGTTGCTATGTACGCTTGAAGGTTAACTGCTTGAAGGCTGTCTGTCATCAAGAGTGATCAGACCACCCCACCCTAAGTATGGCCCACTCCCTTGTGATAAGGATCATAGATTGCTCCCCTGGAGAAGAGCTCCTAGAAACCTAAGGGACGACCAAGGTTAAGCCTCCATCTTAACTACTATAACCCGTCAAGGTTAAGCCTCCATCTTAACTTCTATAACCCTCAATCTTCTTATATATGTATCTTTCTGTCATGTTAATCCTCTTCTTGTTACAAACTTGCTTACCGGGGCTTGCTAGCCCAAGACTATATAACTCTGTCAGAGAATAAATTAGTACTCTCTCTGGTCTTCATGGAAGAGGTGAACCCTTGCATGCATTGTCAAAAGTTTCTATAATTTACCCTTCAATTTCACAACCCCCCTTTTGGACCCATTCGATTGTGGAGCCTGGTCCTGCACATGAACCCATGCTTCTAATTCCCAGTTTTGTATATTGAGAGAGCCTTGAAGTGGTGACAGCCCATGAGCAAAGAGCAAATGAAGCACCCAGAACTTGATTTCTAGATATTCCAAAAAAGTCTATACCATCGAGTTGATGTTGACTCATAGTAGCTCTTTAAAACAGGGTAGAACTGCCCCTGTGAGTTTCTGAAACTGTAACTGTTTATGGGAGTAGAAAGCCTCATCGTTCTCCTATGGAGCAGCTAGTGGTTTTGAACTGCATACCTTGCAGACAGTAGCCCAACTTGTAACCACTATACCATCAGAGCTTCTGTATCTTCTACTTAGAGGACCCAGGGTTTTTATGGAGCTGTGTCTGATTTCTGGACTGAGGCAAGGAAAGTAAAAGATGAGCATGAAATATCTTGCTGTGCCAGACAATCCATCAAAATCACCAGGAATCATCTTGGAGTTGGGTGGTTGAGTGCACACATAATTAAATACAAACAATAACAGGAATCCCAAGGTGATGTAAATAGTAAATTTGGCTATTAAACTGAGAGGTTCGTAGGTAGAGTACACCTAGAGGCACCTCAATAGAAAGAAAGGCTTGGTGATCTACCTCTGAAAAACCAGTCAGTGTGCACATTCAGTTATGAAACACAGTTCTCTTCTGACACATGTGGGGTCACCAAAAGTTGGCACTGACTTCTTAGCAAATGGTTACTTAGTGAAAAACATATAAAAGAAATACTCACCGATGACTTTAACAAAGTATGCATCTGCTTCAAAGTTATTCTTCAGTGCATGAATGGCAAAATCATTTTTTGTATATCCTTTACTTAGTACTACAATGTCCAAGATTCCCTAAAAAAAAAAAGCAAATGATAGCTTTAATCTATTAAACTATTAAAAAAAGGACCACCTTTAAAAATATAAAAAATATAAAATACTGAATATTAAAATGTAAATAAAATGAAGAACATCTGTGATTCTCTAGAAAAGAGAACTGCTTGCATTTAGTATGTTCACATTTCCTTCCAGTCCTGTTTGCATGCATTTTAAAGGTCTGTGATATGGACTGTCAAATTGTTCCAAATTATAAAGAGAAAAAACTTTTAATCTGCTGCTTGCCACTACTGCATATTATAGGGTTTGTTTTTTCCTAAAAAAGTTAAAAATTCTATTTGATTGCCCCTCCCCAAAGGCATGCTCATTTTAAATTACTCTTCTTGGATTCTTTAATGAGGGTTATCACTTATCATACGTTAGCTATGTTTTTAGTTTTAATATAAATTGATAATGTTTTTTTTTCTAGAAGGGGTATTAGTGACATAAATGATTTTGCATGAGCCCACCTTTTTTTTTTTTAACATTTTATTAGGGGCTCATACAACTGTTATCCCAATCCATACACACATCAATTGTGTAAAGCGCATTTGTAC